CCCAATGTCTCTGGCAGGTTCTGTGACGACATTGAATGGATGACCGGGAGGCGGCCTGGCCTCTACTGGCGTGTGACCTGGAAGGTCATCAGCCCCCTGCTGCTGCTGACCATCTTCGTGGCTTATATTATCTTCCTGGTCTGGACAACACTGAGCTACAAGGCCTGGAACCCCCAATACGTAGGTCCTTCGGATGGGGACCCAGGGACCCTGGGATCTGCCTCGGGCCTGGCCTGGCCCGGCTCTGGTGCTCCCAAGCCCAGATGACATTCATGGTGGACAAGTGTACCCTAAGTGACCCTGTGGGCTGCCTTTGCTGTGTCATCCGAGGTCAGGAGGCCCCGAGAGTGCCCTGGAGCATCAGAGGTGACTCAGGCAGCCCGGACAGCCTCAGCCAGTAGCAGGAGGACAAGCAGTTTCCAGACTCTGGTGACATCACAGGTCCCCCCCCTATAGCCCCGCACACAGAGGTGTAGCCTCCAGCCACACTTCCCAAGTGCTGTGGGGACAAGCTCCTCACACTGCCCACTCCTAGTCTGAGATGAGAGAAGGTGCATGTAGCACGTGTCACTGAACTGCCACCAAGCCCTGTCCGAGGGCTGAGCCATGTGGCCCGGCTGACCTGCCACCCCGTCTAGCCACTCTGAACCTCACTGTGCTCCTGTGGGGAGCATGGAAGCAATTCCGTCCAAACCCCCCTTTGGAAAGGGGAGCTGCCCAAGATACCATGGGCAGGAGAAGGAGACATGGAGCTGTTTCTCAAAGAATTTTTGTGAATATTATCCTATTAGGTTCATACAATAGTGCCTTGTGAACCTCAAAGGAAGGACCTGAAGTCGGTGTGTTGTCTCGTTCCCCAACAGAGGGGATAGAGGGCGTCCCAGGGCCTAATGATGCCCCGTGGGTCAGGCCGAGGCAACCTCACGATGGTGGGTTCCCTCGGGTGGACAGGGTGACTCTTTTCAGAACACAGCCCCTTAGGTTCCCGGCCTGTCTCTCAGAGCCCAGCCCCCACAGGAGGCTTGGCCCACGTCCTGTCCTAAGCCTTCATCCCCCTGTGCCCTCACTGCTCAGGGAGCAGCCTCTGGCCCTGTGTCTTTTCCATTCATCCACCTGGAATGAACCAACCTGCTGCTTCATTTCAGGAAGAGATTGGGGGAAGCTGCCCACCCACCACATTCACTTGGCTGTGGGTCAGCCTCGCTCTGCCCCGGTGGTGGGGAGGGGGGGACGCTGCCCCCTCCCTTGGACACTCACCCTGTGGCCTTGTGTCTCTGCAGAAGCAGTTCCCCTCTCGGCAGGAGAAGTCCTACCCGGGCTGGGTGCAGGCCATCTGTGGGCTCCTGTCCTTCTTGCCCGCACTGTTGGTCCCGGGAGTTGCGATGGCCCAGCTGCCCATCTGGCGCAGGAGGAAGCAGAAGAATGTGCAGCAGAACATGCGCCTGAAGCTGCAGGACAGCAAGGTCTCCGACAGCGAGATCCGCTGAGGGCGGGAGGGCCTGGCCTGTACGCCCTCGTTCACAGATCACCCGACCCCATTATACTCACCGACCCCGAGACCTGTGGTTGTTGCTTTCAGACACTCTCATGCCTCCGACCCTCTCAGCACACAGCCCAGCTTAGACATCACCGTCCATGCTGTTCGCCACATGGGAGAAAGCCCAGCATCTGGTGCCTGGGGCCCTGCGGGTTGGGGTCCTGCACAGCACTGTCTGGGTGACCATAGGATGCACCTGGCAGATCCATGGGCAAAGTGGCAGGAGGTCCTGCTGCCAAGCAGGCCAGCGGAGCGGGTCCTGAGGAAGCCACATCCACACCCTTTACACTGGCCTTGCGCCACGTGGGTAGTGGGAATTTCAGGCTGATCTCCAAGGCGAAGTGAATGAGTCCCTGCCTGCAGCAGCCCCTGCACCTAGCGCACTCAGGTCATGGGGACCGTCTGCCATGGCCACGCAGGCGAAGGGAACCATGCAGGCAGCAGGACACGGGTTTGTCCAGGCGAGGTGGGCAGCCTGATATGGAGAATCGTCCCAGGGAACCCATGGCCTCCCCAGGACCCAAGGACAGACCCTCCTCGAGGGAGGAGTGAGCCCTGCCAGGGAGCTGGGGCTGCCTGGCTGCTCCTGCGGTTTTATCAGAAACACTGCCTTTAGTCCTTTTAAAACTTTCTCAGACTGAAATGTGTGTCAAGAAGGTACAGAAAGGCCGATTATCATTCAGGTTCCCACTGTCTCCAGGGCGGGCATCATCACTCCCAGCCGCTCCCTCGCTCCCCGTCACTCCTCTGTGCCGGTGCCAGTGCTGGTGGCGCCAGGCACCAAGCCCTCCTGCAGCCCACAGCCAGGACCTGCCTGCACTAGAGCCCTCAGCACAGTGCCTCCTGCCCAGCTCCTCACCTGCCCGCCCTCCCTCCCTCTCTTTCCTCTCCACCGGTACGGAGCCAGGGGTCAGGTCCAGGAGCTGAGCCCTGACACACAGGATTGTTTCTGACCTGCCACCCTGAGACCATCATGTCCTTGGCTACGTGCTGCTGGGAACAGCCCCCATGAAGACCCCGAACAGGCCTAAGCGCCTTTTGAACCAATCCCCAGTTGGGCTAACACTGTCCAGGGTGCTGAAAACCCCCAGACAGCAAGTTTTACGGCAGGTTATACACAGCCCAGGCCAGGCCTCTGTTGGGAGCCATCTGTGCCCACAGCCAGCCCAGACCTGGCAAACAGAACATGAACGACTGATGCCCAAGGGCAGCTGGGTGTGAAAATGGACTGAATTCAAGGGTACCGCAAAGTGTGTGGTACCTTTGCCCCTTCCTCTGTCGAAAGGCCAGCAATGGCCAGTCTTTCTCCGGTGGCATCTTTCTGACACTGTCTCTCAGCCTTTTAGGGACCCTGTGATCACATTGGTTCTCCTAGATAATCCAGAATCATCTCCCATTTCAGTCCGCTGATTAGTTACCTAATATCCCTTGCAGGTTTCGGGATTAGGGCGTGGGCCACATTGGGGGTCATTATTCAGCCCCTCACAGCGCCAGGGCGTTCTGAGCCCACCCAGGTTTGGGACCCCTTCACAGCCAGGCATGCACACAGGCAAGGGAGCGGCAAGGACATGGGACTGGGGTATAACCACTGAGCCCTTGGGGGGTCCTGGAGCATCATCTGCTTTCACTCTTGCATCCTGGTTGCTCCTTTTCACAGCTTCACTCCACTTGCTCCACACACATCTGTGGGAGGCAGGCCCAAACGGGCTCCCGTTCATGCGGTTTAGTTCTAGGGAAGACCAGCAATCCTTCTTTTAAAAAGCTTATTGTTTTCACACTTCACCCTGAGTTTGACAGACTGCACAGCGGTTTTGAGAAAAGAGATAAATCAGAAATTCTCAGCGAGTGAAGCCTGACCACAGCGTGCGCCCTTCTCAAGGGCTTAACACTTGGGTAAAGGTGCACGTGACTGAGTAAAGCTGCCACAGGACGTATTTCCTAGAGAACAATATTCTACAGCTTCTAGGAGACGGATAACGGAGCTAGAGCTGACCTCCGGGGCCCAGTCTGCTATGGAAATGCCCGAAACACCCAGGGTGCCGTGAGTCTGGGGTAGCCAGCGAGGGTCAGCTCAGGTGCCTGTCCCACCCCAGACTTGCTGAACTATAAACTTGGGGGGACAGCACCCTATGTGTAGTTCAGGCGCCAAGGAACCCAGAGCTCAGGTTGAAATCTGCTGTCTCAGGTGCCTGCGGGGCCTGGGTGGGCCCGGTCCTACCTGCCCCGAGTGTCCTCCACCCTGAGCTGTCCTCCCGAGTTTGCGATAGTGAGGGCACTGCAGGCTGGCGCCCAGGGTGGGGCTGAGCCTCTCACTGCTCATTTCTCCTGGGCATTTACGATGCCCGTGGTGGACTTGGGTCAGCCATAAATGCATAGTTACTTGAACGCTCGCCGCAGTAGCAGTAAACAAGGCAATATCCATAAACTTCGACCGCAGCACACACGCAACCCCTCCCAGGTACACTCAACGGCACCTGTCACGTTTTGTGGCCCCATTAGGGACATCCGGAAGGAAGCCTCCAAAGTGCTCACCACTCCACCCCAGCGCCAACTCCCCTGGTGGGGACTGTTTGTTTTTTTTCCAATGACACCTCCTTTGAGCTGCCACCCCTTCCTGTTCTTTGTGCAATCCTTCCAGCTGTCGGTCCAAGGCCCTGCATAGCCCACTGGTGCACAGCGTGCCCCCCACAGAGGTCCAGACAGGCATGCTACGGGTCTCCCACTCAAGGGGTCATTTCCACAAAGAGGAGGACCTAACTCCGGCTCCTTTTCCTGATGACACCTGCCACTCCGTGGACAAGCCCTTCTCTCACTGGGGCTCCTCACAGGGACTGGAGGACAGGGTGGACCCAGAGGTGGGGATCAGGTCAGGGACGTGGTGGGTATGGAGGCTCTGGTGAGGCTGTGAGGGTGGCCCCTCCTCCCCATCACCAAGGCCCCAGACTGCCCACTCCCATACAAGCTCCTCCGGGATGCCAGTCATCCACGTCCCCATAACCTCGCCCTCCACACTCCTCCAACTCCTGACCATGGACCAAGCAAGCAGCTGTCTGCTCTCCTGGCCACTGCATAGAAGAGCCCCAAGACCAGCCCCCAAACCTCCCGGTCCCCTCAGCAGTGGTTCTGTGTGGGGCCCTCACCCCACCAGCCAGCAGTATCAGGAACTTGTTAAAAGTGCAAATTCTCAGGTCCCACCCCAGACCTGAACTATAAACTTGGGGGACAGGACCCCAAGTATGTGTGGTTCCAGCACCAAAACCCAGAGCTCAGGTTGAAATCTGCTGCCTCGAGAGCTCCCAGGTCACCTCCAAGCTGAGCCAGTGCAGTGGGCTGTAGGCAGGGGAGGGTGCTGGGCTGGGGCCTTCCGGCCCACCGGCATGCTGCACCTGCCCTGTGGGAGCGCCCTTCCCATCTACCTACATCAACTCAATACTCGTGTTTATATAGATAACAATACTTACGTGGTGCATATTTTAATACAAACATAAGAGAAATATTTAAAAACTAAGAAAATATACAAAGGCTCTTCTCTCACCCCATGCCTGGGGTGGGGGCAGGAGGTAGTGCAGGAGGGGCCACGCGGGGCTGTGTGCTGAGTGGGGCCAGCAGAAGACTCCGGAAGTGGAAGTGGCAGGCGGGGGTGGGGGCAGGGGCGGGGGGTGCTGTGTGCTTGGCTCCAGGAGGCCTGGGCAGGGCATGGGGACACGCAGGTCAGAAGCGTGGGTGTGGATGGTGGGGAACGGGCTCAAACAGCTGACTGGGCCCTTTGCTTCTGGGCAAGTTTGTTGAGACATGGACTTTGGATGCAGCTGGGGGCCAGCTGGGGGAATGCTGCTCCAGCGGGTGTGGACGGCTTGAGTCACAGCCGATCAGCAGGAAGGAGGTCACACACACCCACCACACGTGGGCCATCACTGCAGACCAGGGTGACCCCGCAGCAAGGAGGGTGACAAAGGTCCCTGATGCTTCCCTTCCAGATGCCAACGCCCCAACCAGGCTCTCGTACCTGCCTCCTCCTGGCAGCGGGCAGCTGAAGGACAAACCTGTCACTAGAAAGGGGCGGTGGGGGTGGAGCTGGGTGGGCTCTGCTTCCTCGATGACTTGGGGGCAACCCCCTCCAGGGAGCAGCCCAGCCAGCAGCACAGGTCGGGGTCTCGGGGCACAGGGGCCAGACCCTCTGGGTGGACGCAGCTGGGAATGAGCTCGAGGGCCTGTGAGAAGCTGACTGGACATCAGTCCAAGATGGTCCTGAAGTCTGTGGTCAGGGCTGGGTCGGCTGCAGCCTCCAGGGTGGCCAGCGTCGCCCTCGGGAGCTGCCGGCACAGCTGCGCTTGGGCTGCAAGACGACTGAGATCAGACCTCTTCCCAGAGGGAAGCAGAGAATGTTCACCTCAGCCTCCTGGACCCACTGAGGGGCAGGAAGAGACGGCTGAGTCCTGAGCACCCACTGTGTGCAGGTCAGGCTCCAGGCGCATGGCCGAGGAACATCAGGGACCAGTAAGGATGTCAGAGCACGGAGGAGAGGGGGTGCAGCCAGGACACAGGCCAGGGGTGGGAGGAAGGGCACTCAGACCAGCGGGGCTGGAGGAGAGGGAGACGCAGTTCCCGCGGGAAATGTCGTCCTTGGATGGGAGGAGGGAGAGGTGGAACGACTGAGTGGGCATGCCAAGCCCCCCAGGTGAGGGAGGCAGGATCCTCGAGCCACCTGTTCACTCCTGTTCCCACCACCCCTGTTACTCAGACACAGAGGGGTGGACAACTGCTCACTCAAGGATAAGGATAGGCCCTGCACCTGCACAAGAGGTGCCTTGGGGCGGGCACTCTGCCCAAGCTTACCAGTCTGGAGTGCTCCCAGGAGACACCTGTAGGTGGCGCTGTGGCGAGACAGCTTCAGCAGGAAGGCGTGAAAGCACAGCCACCTTGCGGCTTCAGAAGGAAACGGGCCTGCAGCACCCTTGGTCCCCAGAGGCATCCCTGGGAACAACACATGCAGAGGCTGACACCCTCACTGGCCCGTGTCCCAGTGCTCCTCCCAGGAGAGACCTGTCCTCCCGTGGACACCAGGGGTCCCTGCCGGGCTGAGTGCAGGAGCGGGGTCCAAACAGAGACTTTGTTTCAGGGACCACCCAACAACAGGGTACACACAATTCTGACAACTGAAATGTTTTTAATTTCTTCAAAGAAACTTCCTCAAAACAGAAATAAACAGAAAGTCCAGTCGGTCAAGCTCAGGACCACAAAGACACAGCACGACCTGAACTGAGGCTGATTATGACTGTGCATGACGAGGCTGTGGAGCAGAGACGGGGCGAAGTGGATGGTGTGGGTGTCCTCCCCCCGTCCCCGTAAGATGGGCAGGGGACTTGGGGCCCAGCCTCCTCCTGACTACTGCCTGGATTTGTGCAAGCTCCCCCTGAGCACCAGAGAGGAGGCCCTGCCAGGGAGAAGGCAGCTCCCAAATGTCCCCTCGTGTTCCAATCAGGACAGATGTCTGCCCACACAGCAGAGGGTGGGTGACAGGTCAGCTAGTGCTCAGCAAGTTAAACCGGCCGGGAAGTGTCGAGAGCCCAATTCCCTGAATCCTGCCTCCCTACACCAGGGCTGGAGCTGTTCCAGCCACAGCGCTCATGGAGCACAGGCAGCTCCGTGCTGGAATCGTGCGGTGAGCATTTGCCAGCACCACAGGCCACCCCAGCCCTGGGTCACTTGCACCCACCTGGATTCTTGGCTTTCAGAAGGGTGTGGCAGCGTGACGCGGTGTCAGAGATGACGCGGAGGAAAAACGAGGGGTTCTTGCGAACGTGCTGATTAAACGGGAGCTGGAGCACACAGGCGTGGAACCTGAGGAAGGTCAGGTTTATCAGAGGAAAGTCCCGCGGCTGCAACATGTGCACGAGCAGGTGTGTATGTCTACAGGGGCCGGTGTGCACATGGCCGATTCCCTGGGCCCCTTCCAAACAACGTGCATGTGTGTCCATCAGCCGGCAGTCTGACCGCTCCCTCACGCTCACCCTGTTGAGGTGGAGGTATCTTCCCCACTCATGGGAGGGGCGAGCCAGGCCTGGAAACTGGGTGGGGGCCACACCCCTGGCCTGGAAGGGGACCGTATTCTGCAGTTGGAGGACCCTCTCCCAAAGGAGGGGTGGTGCTTAATGCAGGGTGGGGAGAGGCCTCCACTAGTGAATATCACGTCTGCAAAAGACTCCAACCTGAAGCCCACGCTTGTCCAAAAAGGCTGAGCCCGGCAGGTCCTCAGACCGCCCGGTGAGTGTCCTGCTCCAAGTGCCAGGACATTCCCTGGGCTCCATGCCGCAGCCCTGGCTGCTATGGCCATCACGGTCCAGCTTTACATACCCCCTCCTGCAGGGGAGGCACGGGCAGCCTCACATGCCTAACCTTCCACATTGGGAAGCAGCTAACTCTCATGCAGTGGAGAAGGCAGCTCGGCACCCACTGTTGCTTTGGGACCGCGCTCCCTGAATGAGGAGCATGGAGCCGCCCCAGGTGCCCGCTCTGTATCCAGGTCACTACACCATTCCCCGGCAGGCAGGTGTCTGAGGCCAGGGCCCCACAGAGCGAGGGGACACAAGGGTGAGGCCGGGCTGAACACCAGAGCAAGACCTTCAGCAGGCAAGGTGGCCTCCAAGGACTGGGGCTGGTCAGGGGCTGGCCTCCCGCTGACCTGGAAGCATCACCTGACTGCTCCTCATCCCTGAGGCCCCGAGAAGTGAGAGGGTATAGAGCCACCTTGTTGTTGGCTGTGAATGGTCTGAGGGCACGTTCCTGTTTATACTGAACACATCTGCAGAGGAGCCACGGCAGCTCGCACACGGAGCAGGAGTGTACCAGCTTGCACACGGAGCAGGAGTGCACGGGAGAAGATGCAGGTGAAGGAGGAAACACATGAAAAGCAGGAGGCGGCGGCCTGAGCGCTGGGGTCCCTGGACTGAGCCCACGGGCTCCATGCCTCCCAGACACCAAGGGAACAACGCAAGCGCACACATGGCCCTCCTGGCTGAAGCACAGGGCATGGGCCCCCGGGGCCGAAGGGATTTCTTGGTGACATTTAACAGGCATTTCCTCCAAGAGCCCATCCAGTTCCTACGAGACGACCTTGTCTCACATGGGCACAGCCTTGGGTAACATGAACTCAGGGGCTCAAAACATAGCTGCTTGGCTTCCCAGCACTCGGGAGACACGCGGACCCCTCACCCACCCCACGGCTTACAGCCACTTCGGGCAGAATGCTTTCCCCGTGACTTCAAGCAGAATGCTTTCCCCATGAGCTGCTTGGTGGCAGGTAGCCAGGTTAATGTCCATCTTCCGGAGGGACCAGCACAACTTGACAGTGGAACTGGTTTACCAGCAAAGACTCAGGACAACCAGTGAGTGGCTCCACTGTGTTCTGCCCCAGTTCTCAGCAGGTGGCCGCGAAACCAGGGAATGTTCTGGAAGCACAGCTGGGCCTCAGCACACACCAATGTGTGCCAGGAGTGGTGGCTGGGCTGATTGGGAGCCGCACACCAGAGTCCCCTCTAGGGGGCACTGGAGTGTTGGTGGCCACGGATGGTCACCTGCACCGCCTGGATCCTCTGCTCTCTGGGATCCTCCCAGTAGGGCATCTGCCTCCCATGACCACGCGCGGGCCGCCTTCCTCACACCCTGCAGCTCTCCTCCTCCGACCTCCCCTCCCCACACAGCAGGATGGGTTAGCCCACAGGGAGACAGGGAACTCCAGGCCATGCAGCCCCCTGTCACCACCTGGTGAAGGGAACAGGACCTCAAACAAAGCAGAGCCTCTATGAACCACACAGAGAGGCAGCCTCTGCCGCTGAAAATGCTCTCATAAGTGGAAGGTTTCAGCATGAAGGCCTGGGAGCCGGGGAGTGCGTGCTGCCCCCAGGCTCGGGAAAGGGGGACCCAGGTGGCGCGTGGCCACGCACCCCGTCCCCGTGGTGGCGCATCCAGTGAGCCCACCTGTAGGCCTGCAGCAGGAATATCTTGTAAACGTTTGTGCAAACCGTCTGAAGACCATTCACCTGGAGCCACAAGGAAAGGAAATGTTGGAAATGCATCTGAAGTTTAAATTTTTATCTTTTGCTTTATCACCAGCTCAAATGGAGTAAAAAAAAAAAAAAAAAAGGACCATTGTGTCCTCACTGGTGGCCCCTCACCGCCTGTGGTGGAGTCAGGACTCTGCTGGGGCTGCCCAAGGGAGCCAGGCAGAAAGGGACAAGGAGATGAGCATCCAGACCTGCCGGAATGACATCCTGGCCCTGAGGCTCTAAAGCCTGAGCCAGCTGAGGCCTCAGAGTCCCATACCCTGCCAGGAGGAGCTCCAGGGCTGAGGAAGATGGGAGCGGAGGAGGGATAAGGAAAAGGACCCCCAATACACACAGGGGCATATATGCACACTCACATGCATGTATATATACCCATATGTATACACTCAGACATGCACACCCATGCACGCACACATGTGAACATATACCCATATGCACGCACACCCATGCATGCTCACTCACACATGCATGCACATCCGCACACTTATACATACATCAGCATACTTATACACACAATACACAACAGGACCTATAAAACAACTCCCACAGGTAAACTGAGCAGCAGGTCTTCTGAGCTCTGAAGTCAGCTGGCTGCGTGGCTCACCTGCTGGCGGCATGCTCACCTGCAGATCCAGAAGCAGACTGTGACATTTCAGCCTTAACACCGCAAAGAGCTTTCGACGCATGCTCCTCCCAGGCTTGGAGCCCTGGCTGAAGGCGAGACTTGCTCTGATCGAGGTCTGGGCATAACTGCAACACATGACATCCAGGGAGGCTGAGGATGGGCATTACAGTGTGTGCCCTCACTGCAAAGAGCCTCGTGTCCAGCAGGACCTGAAATCTCTGGGCTCAGATCTGTACTGCTTCCCTACATGCTGGGGTCCTCAAGTCTGCCACACAATTTCCTTTTACCAAAAATACTCCAGAAAACTGCTCACCTGGCCAGTCCCCTGACCCACACAAGAATGACATGCTCCTGCTCTGGAGGGGGAGATAGCACCGAGGCCTCTGACCTTTTGGGACTGTAGCCACATGTTGCACACAGCGCAGGGACAGGGCTAGACTGGCCCACGTACACCTGGCTAGGCCCACTTACCTGGAGTAGTCACAGAACACCTCCAGGGTCCGCGTGTCCAGCAGCAAGCCACACCAGGGGAACAGGCAGTGGGCTGGCAGCTGCAGGGGTGCCGTGCTGCCCAGGGCATCGTCTTCCAGGGGGAAGTTCACTACTGTCTTCCGCAAGTTCGCCTTGCAGCCGTACTCGGGCACTCCCCTGGACAGGGTCCTGAAACAGACAGGCCACTTCAGCCACTGGGAGAGCGATGCCACTCAGGGTCTCGGACACACTCACTCAATGCTATGTAAAACCCCAAGAGGCAGCGGGGAGCAAGGGCTGGCACTGAAGGGAGGCCACACCGACCCTGTGGGCCTCCAGGTGCTGGTTTCCAAAGGCTCTGGATGACCAGTGCCAACGATCAAAGAACAGGGTGGCTGCCAGGAGGGCAGAGGCCGGCAGCAGGGGAGGGAAACACAAGGCTGAGTCCTGAAGGCCAAGTAGATGCCACATGACCCTGTTCACAGGTAAGACAGGTGAGCAAAGAGCTCAGGCTCCAGGTTGAGAACTGAGACCAGCCAGATGGGAGGGTGGGCAGGGCCCAAGCAGGACACAGGTCCTCTCTGCAATGGCCAGCTGTGTCCACTCAGAGACACAATCCCAACGTGTGCTGGGGTCTTTGTAGGTGAGGTCAACATCTGCATTCAGACAGCTTAAAGGTGGTTACCTTCCAGAGTAGGGTGGGCACACCCATCAGAAGGGCCCAGAGCAGAAGCAGGAAGTGAAATAAGTCAGTCAGAGAAAGATAAATATCACATGCTCTCACTCATTTGTGGATTATAATGAACAACATAAACCGATGAACAAAAACAGATGTAGAGACAGAGAAGCATCGATCAGATGCTCAAAACTCAGAGGGAAGGCAGGGGAGGGTGGGGGTGAGGGGAAAAGATCAACCAAAGGACTTGTATGCATGCATATAAGCATAAGTGATAGATGTGGACAACAGGGGGTGAGGGTGAGGGCAGGATTGGGGGGATGAGGGGACATTGGGGGGATAAGGACACATTTGTAATATCTTATTCAATAAAAGAAAAAAAAAGAGCAGAAGCAGGGTGTCCTGAGAAGGGAGAGTCCTCCCGTGGGTGGTGGCTCGGGCTCCTGCCCTTCTTGCTGCTGCCCTGTGAACTGCAGACTCGCCTCGCCAGCCCCCACTATCACATGAACCAACTCCTTGCAATAACTCTGTATATGTCCCCAATAGTCCAGCTCCCAGTGGACCCCAGCATACACATTCTGAGCCACCTCCCTGCCCACCCTCAGAGCAGCGGTGCCCCCCCGGATATTCCACAATGGAGGCCACGCTCCCTGCCTGTGCCGTGCCCTCTGGCAGCCACTGGCCACGTGTGGTTACTGATGTCTTTGAAGGTGGCTGGTACCCGGGGTCCTGGATTTGTCATGATTGAACTTGGATGAATTTACATTTGCACGCCATCCTGTGTGGGCTACTGTGTGCGGCCGTGAGGCCTGGCATGTCCCAGCAGTACTGCCCATCCTCCGAGCCCCGAGGATCCCCCGGGGGCAGACACGGGGTATCGGGACGCCATCCTGATGGGTTCTCCAAAGCCAACCCCGCGACCAAAGCACACTGCCCCTCAGGCAGTGACATTCTGTGAGTTTGGTTTTATCCTTCTCTCGTTCCTGGGAAAACTGCCCTGTGAAACAAGCCCCAGATTTCCGGGGTCCTGGAAGGGATGGCACGCTGCAGGCAGCACGCCAAGGCAAGGTTCCCTGTCTGTGGAATTTTATTTTGAACAAAATGAACTTAGGACCAACACCTCATGCGATCCCCGTGCCTTATAATACTGTCACTTAACAAGACCCCCCTCTGTTCTCTCCTAATGCCAACCACAAAAAAAGAGACGCCACACTAGAAGCTGCAGACAAGCACGCAGGGCCGACTCCTGTACTCCTTCATGGGCACCTCCTGGGCACAGCCTCCCAGAGGAGGTGCCACGGCTCTCTCCGCTGCCCAAAGTACTGCGTGCGCATACATTCCAAGGAGCCCCGAGGACTCAGCCCAGCCCAGGCGCCTGACCCACACTTGCTCCCTCCCTCTGGGGATACATGTGTCCTGGTGCCACGCTGTCAGCTCCAGGCTTCCACGCTGTATGCCTGGGGTCTCAGAACAGCACAACTGTGCCACATGCCCCCGCAGAGATGCTGGCACACCGTGGGAAGCTTGGGCACAAGGTGAGAATTACTTCTGATAGAGCAAGGTCAGCAGCATGAGGCCACAGAGGCACCTGCCGAGATACACGTGTGTGCAGACCTTACCTGAGAAAGGCCTTCGCTTGTGTCAGGTGAGGGGTGACCAGCAAGAAGTCGTCCACTAAACGCAGGAGCACCCTGGTAGGAAAAGAGGCACGAGGAAGGGCGTTAAATACGAGTTCATATGCACGAAAACAAAGTAATCCGTGCAACTCGGTACTGGCTGGGGACAGGGGGCAGGGGCCCCTCGATCACACCAGCACCGCTACCAGCCGTGTTCCCTGGTGCACTGGGAGCCACTCACAGCCTACGTCGGAGGCCTGCTCGCTACCTCCTGTGAAACCTCCCGTGAAGAAAGGGCAGCCCTGTCTGCACCAGAGCATGGGAGGGGGCAAAAGCAACCAAGGGCACCAATGACAAGGAACCTGTTACCCGTCCTGCTGGAGTCCGGGGAACACCCTGCTCTCCATGTCTCCGTAGCACAGGCTGCACAGCAGGGTGGACAGGATGGAGCCCTGGGGGATCCCCTGACACTGGATGTAAAACCTGGGGGGAGACGTGGGCAGAAGGGTGGAGCACATGTTCATATCACAGACATGCGTGCAGACCACATACCTGTGCAGACACGCTGCTCAGAGCACACAAACATGCGTACACCACACACACACAGAGAACACAGATCACACACCCGCCCGCGAAGCCCTGCCATGGGCCGTCCACATGGGGCACGGCCCTCTACCAACGTGCAGCAGGTGGCCCTGACTCACTTGCCCCCGATCCTTATGATGTGGTTGTACACCAGGTGCAGGAAGACATCGAACAGGTCGCTGCTGGCCTCGTTCAGGGAGCAGCTCTGGAAAAGCAAGTGAGAGACGCACGTGGGTAAGCAGGACACGCTAGGCAGAGACGTGCAGGGGGGACAAGGGGTGGGCGGTAGCGGACGAGCAGGAACAGCATGGGTCATCCGTGGCTCTGGCGGGGCTCAGACCCAGGGCCACTGGCCCAGACGGCTTGTGCCACACACTGACTCTGTGGACGTGGTGGGGCCCTGTGGCCACAGGAAAGGCACCCATCCAGGGGGCTCAGAGCCATCCTTGGAGGACCGACTCAACCGAAAGCGGTTCTGCAGGAAGCCACAAACTCAGGAACAGTCCCTGGCAGGCACAAGAAACCTGGGTTTCCCACCTGAGGGGTTAATTCCAGGTAGGTCTACGGGTCAAATCTAACATGTCTTCCCATAGCACAGGGGCACGTTTTCTTCTGGCCTCAACATCAAAACGGAGGGAGAAGACATCCCTACCGAATCTTAAAGCAGCTGGACAGTAACAAAGAATTCAGTGAGGTGCAAAAAGAAATGTGGCTGAAGGCACAGCAAGTGTCTGCTGGCTGAGGGTGGCCTTGCCGTCTGCCCACACCAACCTGCTCGATGACCACGGCATCCCTCAGCGAGTTCGTCTTCTGCAGCTGCTGCACAAACTGTTTCATGTAAGGCTGGAGGTCCGTGAAGGTGGACACCTGCCGGCAAAGAGGACAGGCGTGAGGCAGGTGGGCGCCTCCCTCCCGAGCCCTGGCCTCGACATCAACGAAGTCACATCATGGAAGACTAAGTCAGGTGGGCGCCTCCCTCCCGAGCCCTGGCCTCGACATCGACGAGCAGAAGTCACATCATGGAAGACTAAGTGGGGAGTGGGAGCAACCCAGGGAGGCCCCGCCGTGCAGCCTGTGTTCAGGAAGAGGAGGACGGAGATGCAGGGAGAGGCGAGTGCTACAAAATCACAGGGATGGAGCTCCAGTGGCGCAATCGGTTAGCGCGCGGTACTTATAAGACAGTGCAAAATCACAGGGACGTCACCTCCAGGCACCTCCTCCTGACTACTGTGCCCGGCAGAATGCAGAAGGAAGTTTCTTAGGGGTGCTGGAGAGGCAGAAAGCAGGTGGACTTAGAGTCCCTGTCTTGGATGCATCCCACAATCTCTGAGGCCTAATTCAAGGAGGTGGAGCTTAAGCAAAAAGTGGGGGCTATGACTAAAGACACTTAGGGTTCAGGGCCATCAAAGCAACTGGGATTGAGGGTCAGGTGCTGGGAGGAGGGGGCTTCAGACAAAGGAGTCAAAACTGTGAGTGATTTCTTCTCCAATCCTCACCAACCCCCAGCGTCAGGCGCTCCGGGGAGACTGCAGGAAACCCGGCAGAAGCTGGAGCTGAGTGTGGTCATAGCAGCCACCTGGGGCGGAGGGGGCTGAGGGGAGCCCGGGCCCACCAAGGGCTGCACACCTGCCCTCAGGTGAGACAGCAGAGGGCCGCAGCCAGGGAAGGAGCAAAGTGAAGGAGACCAGCCCAGTGTAAAGACGACCCTTGCAGGATTAAGCTCACTCACTACTCCAACTTTCAGGAAAATATTATCCTCCCCAAAGAAAAACATTATGTAAAAATCCACGTTTTAAATTTTTTAACTTAAAAGTCTGGCATCTCAAGAAAAAAATAGTGAGGCGTGCCAAAGAACAGGCCTGTGTGACCAAACCACAAGTGAAACAGCAGAAACAGACACGATCCATCAGAACCCATCATGGGCAGGGTGGCTACTGAGTTATGGAATTTAAAAATCAGTAAAGATGACAGAGTCAATAAAATAGGGGAGAAGACGGGGGACTTTACCAGAGACTTGGAATGTATGAGAAAATTCACATGCGATTTCTAAAACTGAAAAATAGGATAGCTGGACTTAAGAATTCAGTAAGCGGGTTTAGCCAAAGATTAGAGACAGAAAAAGAGAAGGTTCGTGAACTGGAAGCAGGTTCATGAGAAATCTGGATTTAAGCAAAAACAGAGCGGTTTAAAAATACCATATACAAAAATTAATTCAAAATGGACCCAACACCTGAATGAGAAAGCTGAAACAATAAGCACCTTGAAGGAAATATGTGTATAAGAAGGGACAGGTTTCCAAAACAGAACACAGTTTCAGCCATAAACAATGGATAAAGACTTCTTGAAAATCAACAATTTCTCGTCATCAAGACTCCCCTTGCAACTAAAAAGGTGAGACAAACCAAGACAGACACCTGACAGAGGACTCGTACCCGGAACATACAAATTTCACCGATACGTCAATAACAAAGGTAGACAGCCCATCAGAGAGCAAGGAGAGGACTTGAACAGGCACTTGCGCGAGAAATGTCCACGTGAAGGGTGGATAGAAAGGTCACTGGGAAAGCAAGTCAAGACCATACACAACACTGTGCCCGCCCTCAGGGAATCCGGGCTACCCCCTGAGTGCTGACACTTGCAAGTGTGTGAGCATGAGCACGCCTGGCCATCCCATATTTGGTGCCCCCGTGGCTGCCCCCCAGAGCCCAGGCCTGGCCTGTGGCTGCAGTGCTTCATGGCCACGCTGGCACAGGCCACTCAAGAACACTCTTTGGTGACATCTAAGACTAAACAAGGCATTTCTATGGCCTGGCATCTCCACCCGAATCCACCAAATGACACATCGCAGTAATGCTCTCAGCAGCATTCAAACCTCCCAATCCAGAACCAGCAAAGGCCCACCAGCAGCGGAGAGCAGTGTGGGCACAGGAACACGCCCCGGGCGAGGTGAATGGCAGCTGCTCCCAGGGGCCCAGCTGCTTCTCAGACACACTGGGGAGCAATGGAAACCAGACAGGAAGGGCGATCCGTCTGATTCACGTTCACGGAATTTGAGACAGGTAAGAGAGTCTGCATGAGGGAGGTCAGAGCAGCAGGCACCTGGGGAAGAAGGGGGGGCCTCATGGCTGCTGGTGACTTTCTATCCTTTGATGCAGGTGGTGGCACCATCTGTCCACAAATATACAGTCTCACTGTGTTGTACACTCTGGATCTGCAGCCCACACTCACCTGACTTGCCCAAGGGTTTTCAGGTATGCCTTTCCCAAGAATTTCTGGGGGAAGTCTTTCTGCACGCTCCTGCCTTCCCCACAGCACAGGTTTAGGAGGTTGGGTGCCCTCACACTCCAACATGCTCATGACAATTGCTTGGAAATCCCCATATGCCAACTGGGCCTCAAGTGCAACCTGAACTCCAGGTGTCCTTTCCCTGCACCACTGAGGCCTCAGGCCGCTGGCCGCTGCAGGGAGGGCGCCCTCGGCCCCTCGGCCCCACCTGGGAGGCAGAATGGTGAGCGAGGCCCAGGTGTCCTGGGTGAGGTGCCCTCTGGCCCTCTCCTCACAGAGCCAGCACAGCGCCAGCCATGAAGCACTTGGCCCCACTGAGTAGCCACAGGCCAGGCCTGGGCTCCCGGGCGGCAGCCACGGGGACACCAAGAAGCACACGCATGGCTGTGCTGCCACCTCCTGGCACAAACCTGGGGCCCTGTAAAGGGACAGCAGGCAGGAGTGGCTTGAAGAGAGGACCGACTGTGACATGAACAAGAGCATGAGGATGACCAGGATGGAGGCACCTCCCAGCATGGGAGCTCAGGAAGTGGGGCTCAGGGCCCATGGGGGAGGGATGGACTGCAGGGCAGACATCCATGTCATGGACACACCTCCTCACGGCACACACCCACAGTCTTACGTGTCTTTTGAAGGACTTCCGGACGCGTCCGCGGGCAGTTCTCTGGACCACAGCGTACTGGCGCAGGCAGTATGTGTGCTCTTGGGGCTGGATCACGTTGGCGATCACCTCCACCAGCCTGCCCTGAGGGAGGGCGTCGTACGCACCCATCACGTCCACCTGCACGGAGAGAGGTGCGCTTATAGGCTGCTCACACCCACCTTGGCCCTGTGTCCTGGGTCCCACTCGTCTGCTCTGTCAAGCGGGGGCCCCAGCCTGTCCTTACAAAGCCCTGGGGTGATAGGACAGGGCAGGACCCAGGAGCCCCTGAGCACCCTTCCCAGAGCCCCATCCCGGTCACACATACCACCCCACTGTGGAGCTCTCGCTGAGACATCCCCACATCCCCCAGACTGAGCACCCCAGGGCGGCTCTGTGTCCCTTTCTCCACACCCCAGACTGAGCACCCCAGGGTGGGCCTGTGTCCCTCTCTGAGGGCAGGCTGATGAGCAGCAGGTCCCTGGCAGATGACCGGGGTGCTAGGGCAAGAGCAGGGGCCACTGTGGAGTTGGGGTGCAGAACTGCAGAGTCCATGCCAGCAAGGAAGGCTCAAAGCTTCTGCTCCCAGGAGTCAGATGCTCCCAAATGGAGCATCTGCCCTCCTGGGTCACCTGCCCTCCCTCTCCCAAGTCTGCAGCTCCACCACAGGGACCTCACCCTGGCAGACACAGGCCCTGAAAAAGCCAGCCACACTGCAGGCTCTGGCCAGGGCCCAGGATGCAGAGTCACCCACTGGGTGAGCCTGAGGGTGCTGAGTGGACTCACTGGGGGAGAGAACACCCACCTTGACAAAGTACAGCTGAGGCACTGGGTCCTGGGCCCGCATGCGCAGCACAAAGGCACGCCAGGCCCTATAGATGTCGTCCATGCCCAGCACAGAGGCGCCCAGGAGGCCAGGGCGCTGCTCTCGCTCATAGTTCAGCACGCTGAACAGCGTCTTGACTTTGGAGGTGAGATGCTGCACCTGCAGGGCCAGTCCAGGATGGCGGCATGGTCACAGGAGGCCCCCAGCCAAGGGGATCTGGGGCCCGATGGCCCCATCCCACCTCTGGGGCCCAGTGATGAGGGGCAGCTCTGCTTCTGCACCCCCCTGACTACCAGCTTCCCTCAGGTGGAAGGGCCAGATAGACAACCCACCCACACCCAGGGCATCCCCAGGGACCCACCCTGGAATTCCTAGAAACGTGGTATAAAAAACCAAGTAGCAACACACAGGACCATCTCTCCCACCTGGCCCCAACCCCCACCACAGACGAGGAGTTCATCATCTTCATTCACAGACCAAACCAGATCCCTAATCCACACCAACAGCTTCACTTTCTTTTGGGGGAGTAGGAGACACCAATAACAAAATCAGCCCCAAATGCTATAAGGAGGCACTTGGAAGGGGTCAGAACTGCTGGTGACACAGAGATGCCATAGGTGGAAGAGGATGCTAACCACAGGGTGGGGTCCTACAGGGTCCAGGAACCCGAAGGCTAAATGGCCCAGTTCCTTACGTCCCTGCATCTTGGAGAGTGCGCATCCCCAGTGCCACAACAGGATCGTGGGCACTGGGTCAGTCCCACATGTCACAGGTCCACGTCATGAGAAGCTTGTGGGGTTGGAGCCTGTGCAGCAGCTTCTAGGACTGGCCTGCCTGCGAGCTCCTCCTCGGACCCAGAGCACACCCACCCATGGCACCCGGGGCCCTCCGGCCTGTCTACCTGGACACCAGGCCTGGGGGTTAATGCTATTTGCTTAAAAAATGAAACAAAGGTGGTGACCTTCTTGTCCCCATGGAACGTTCTGGCTCCCACGACGTAGTCCATGTTCACGATTGGCCGCAGCCCGCTGGGCTTGGGGAGGAAGCGGAGTCTGGACGTCAGCAGAGCAGGCCTGGCTTCCTGGTATCGCTTGACCTCAGCCACCGACAGTTCACGAAGCTGCACCCGATCGAAGTGTTGTCTGAAACAGAACCTCGTGAGATGGGCTCAGCAGCCACACAAGAACCCAGGTGGTCGACCTGCAGAGGGTGCCGTGTCCAGGAGGCTGCATGACACAATGACCAGACGCTGCTGGAGCGCCCTCTGCGCCAGGGGCCCAGGACGCCCATTCCCTCTGCTACAGAGCCCTGGCTAGTACGGCTGGGATGGGACGGGACCCCTGGGAGAAAGACCCCATTTTTGTCTCAAGGAATGTGAGGGGGGGCTACTTGGTGCAACTTCACAAGAGTCAGAAATGACTCTCCAGGGACCCCCAGCTCCCTGCTGGCCTCTCCCCTGAAACCTCCTACAGGGAGGGGCAGAGGTTAAGAATGCTCCCTGAGCTGTGGGCCTGGTAGTGAAGAAAGGCTGGATGGCACTTGAATACCCAACAGGCAAGATGACAGTCCCCACAGTGAGGGTAAGAGTGACCACTTGGGATCATATGTCATGAACTTTTAAATTATTAAATAGGATGCACTGTGCATCTCTTCAGACCCATGATGAGGGCTTCTAGACCCTCTCCCAGGTGCAGGAGGACTGGGACTGGGCCCTGGTTCAGGAGTTGCTGCCTCCCTTCAGAAATGTGTGGTTCAGGCTTGAGTTTGACCCAAATGTGCACGGAGCCTGGGAGCTCTGATCTGGTCCTCGCCAAGCCCTCGGCCAGGCTGGCCGCAGAGAGGAGGGAAGCTTATGTGTCGGGCTGTCACACCCCTAACCCTGACGGATCCCAATCCGACCCACATCTGTCACAGCCCTGCACAATGTACCCGAAACAGACGCTGAGCAGCTAAGACGGATCCACTCAGAGGTGAGTCGACCTTCTGGAAGTTTCCCTCTCAGGGTCCTGCCTGACAGCAGACACCTCTGACTCCAGACACTTCCCACAGGGAGTTGTCAAGTAGGCAGGTTTATCTTGTGACACAAGTCCCACTTGTTCTGCGCAAATTAAAATAGAATCTGACCACACGCCAGGGATAAGTGGTTTGCTTGCACCACTGTTCCCACTTTCGAGACCCTAGAGATTACCTAGCTACAGGCAAGGAAGGAGGCGCTCCAGGAGTCCATGCCAGCAAAGACCCCTGTGGGCCAGGATGGCTCCTGGAGTAGCTGGGTGGGGGCCCCGAGGTGGGGGCACAGGGAACCCGGAGCAGGAACCGGGGCTGTGTCTGCAGATGGGAAGAAACAGGTCAACGAGGCTCTGGCTGTGATACCTGATCCCAATGCTTTGCAATTGGCTCCAGATGCTCTTCCGGAAAAAGAAGAGCTGGTTCTTCTGAAACGTGGTCTCCGTGACATAAAAAAACGACTTCAGCAGCTCAACCACGTATGTGCCCATCAACCAGCACAGGAACTTGGCCAGGACGGCTTCTCTCAGACGGTGCTCCGTGGCTGGGACATAGCGACCCCCTGGAACGAGAGGCCCAAGCTCACCCCACCTGCATGGCCCATCGTGGATGCAGTCACGTGTTGGTGTGTATGATTTGAGGGATCCTCACAGAGCAGCAAGATCCAGAAATGCCTGGGGTTCTCCAGGCTGGACAGCAGGTGAGTGGTGGCAGTCACACCCAGCTAAGGGATGCCACGTGCTGTGGGACTCCAAACGCGCACCAGGGCTGCTGTCCTCTGCATTTTGTTCTGTGAAACATCGTGGGGAGGGGTCCACGTTGTCACCCGGCTGCCACAAGGGCCACGGCACAGGTAGAAACATGTAAAGGAGAAGAACAGGGACCCAGAGGCAGGTGTGGGACAGAAGATAGGATGGGGAACAACGGGGTGGGGACAAAGCTGAATGCACAATAACCGTGGGAAACAGTAACCGTGTCTAATCTGGGACATAACCAGGCCAGTGGGAAAACAGCATCCAGGTTGGGGTGGGACCAGATTAAAATATGCTAAGGCCCTTAGGTTGCTCAGGAGAAGAGAAACCACTAAGGGAGGAGAATGGAGAGTATAATTTCTAGCTACTGGGAGGCAAAACCAGAATGAGCACACACATCCTCGTTCAGGACACGAGGAATAAGGGCATGGGAAAGGCAGGCAAATGAAAAAGAAAAACATGCAGACACAACTATAATTATAGAAAAGTGAAAACGAATCAGATTCTATAGGAATGTGGCAAAGACTGTCACACTGGATCGAAAATGAACTTAAAATGCCAGTGATATGCTACTAAGAAGACACATCTAAATTATGGAGATATGAAAAGGTTGAAAATAAAAATCAAAGAATGACAAATGATGAGGTAAACACTAACCAAAAAGAAGCAAGTGCAGATGTTCTCTAAGCTGTTCTGACAGACTTTAAGGTAAAAAGAATTAGTAGACGTACATCAGGAAGATAAAACTTCTCAAACGTGCTGTGCCTAACGAAACCACGCAAACGCTGTCAGAACAGGAGGACAATGAGACAAGCGCCGCTCAGCACTGGGCCTCGGGAAGGACACACAGTTTCCCATAGCACATAGCAAGCCCAACACAGTGAGCACAGCCACCTACCGGGCCTCCGGGACACAAGGAACACTGGTGAAGACTGTCGATGAGACTACAAAGCAAGTTTCAAAGAGCTCAGGTCACTCAGACCACTACACAGCTGAATCGGAAATCAGTGACAAAAAGATAACATATCCACTCATTTGAAAAATCTAAAATATATGTCTAAAGAACTCACTGATCAAAGAAGAAATGACAAAAATACTTAAATGCAGTTGATATAAAAATGTGAGCAACACATCAGAACACAGGTGCAGCTGAGCAAGATCAAAGAGAAGGCACCGTCAGACATCCACCTGAGAGGTCAGAGGACAAGCCCAAGAGCAGAGGAAGGATATAACCATCAGAAAAACTAATGGAATTCAAAACAAAGATCCGGTATAAAGGCTCCACCCAGACTCTGCCCTGAAGGTAAAGGTGGCCTCTACAGGAGGGACACACTTGGATGGTAGTTCAGGAAAAGTGATGGTGTGGTCAGATGTGAGTTGGAGGCAGAGCACCACCTAAGCCAGCAGCAGTGTATGCCCAGGTTAGGGACAGGGGTTGCCACCAGCCCAAGGATAAGACAGCCCAGGGAGACAGTGAGTAAGCAAGCAAGGAGCCATGGCAGCTCCTGAGTTTCCATCAGGAACCTGTCTTGCGATGTCTCTAAACACTACAGCAGATGCGTCAGCTGGCAGTCTGGCCTCCAAGGCTGGGGACCAGGCAGCTGACGGGAGTCAAAAGGCAGCATGGCAGGTGGGACAATGGTCAAGGCTGGCTAGACAGAAGCAAAGGAGCTGGATGCTGTGAACAGAGCGCCTGGCAGGGCAGAAGGCCAGCACAGAGGAAGGGGTGTCCCAGGAGGAGAGGGTGGAAGAGGTGACCGTGAACAGCCGTGACTAGAGAGGTGGCTCAGAGGCCAAGGCTGTCCGTGCATCATTTATTCCGCCAGTGGGCAGCTGGCATGGCCCAGCCACAGAAAGAAACAAATGCCTAGGTTACCGCTTGAGTGAGCAAGGATGCCGCAGAGGTCCTAGTCGCCTGGGAAAACACCATGGTGGAGCAGGGCCTCATTGGAAGTTGGGGAACAGAGTCATAGAAGTCACACTCTCCTTTCCTTTCACAAGGCAAGCGGAAGCCCCAAGTACAGTGAGCGTGTGACAGCTAACCCAACTGAGTCTGATGCACCTGAGGGTCACCCACACTGTCCCACGTGGTCTGTGGGTGTACGAGTCACACAGTATGAACAAGTTCTAGAGATCTGCTGTGCAACCCTGCTTCCACTCAGCACTGTTGTCCTGTACATGCAAACAGTGGTCAAGAGGTAGATCTCACCCTAACTAGTTTGGCTCAGTGGATAGAGTGTCGGCCTGTGGACTGAAAAGTCCCAGGTTTGATTCCGGTCAAGGGCATGTACCTTGGTTGCGGGCACATCCCCAGTAGGGGGTGTGCAGGAGGCAGCTGATCAATGTTTCTCACTCATCGATGTTTCTAGCTCTCTATCCCTCTTCCTTCCTCTCTGTAAAAAAATCAATAAAATATATATATATTTTTTAAAAAGAGGTAGATCTCATGTTATGTGGTGTTTTCCACAATTAAAAAAAAAACACAAGTTGCCGGAAGGTCACCTTGCTGTCTGAATCACCTCTTGGGAGTCTGAGAAGGTGTACCCCTCTGCCTCCCTGTAGGACATCCCTGCTATTGGGATCTTTGGGGATGGAGATGGGCATTTTTAAGGTCCCCCACCGCAGAAAGCTGTAACATGCATCTGGGTGGGCTAGTCTGGCTGTAACATAGGGCTCTGAACCATCTTTCTTCTAAAGTCCTAAATGTCTTGGGAGTTGGGGGAGATCAAGTATAGCAAAACTTGGGTCTGTTCTCACTGCTTTTACTCTGTC